GGGAGGGGAGAAAACAAGTGGGAGGGAGAGAGAAACAAGTGGGAGGAGGGAGAAACAAGTGGGAGGGAGAGAGAAACAAGTGGGAGGGAGGGAGAAACAAGTGGGAGGGAGGGAAAAAACAAGTGGGAGGGAGAGAGAAACAAGTGGGAGGGAGGGAGAAACAAGTGGGAGGGAGAGAGAAACAAGTGGGAGGGAGGGAGAAACAAGTGGGAGGGAGGGAGAAACAAGTGGGAGGGAGAGAGAAACAAGTGGGAGGGAGGGAGAAACAAGTGGGAGGGAGAAACAAGTGGGAGGGAGGGAGAACATGGGTGTTACTCTGAGGTTATTCCCTGTATAACACCAAATTGGTTAACTGGCTTTAATGGCTTGTGATAAACAGGGTAATGTAACCTTCATCTCCAGCTACCTTACAGGCTAGAATCTCTTGTCTTGAAGAACGGTGTTCAGAGCAGACTGCTACGGAGAACTAGTGCTTAACTTAAGAGGATTTAAGAGTAAGATTTGCCTATGAAGAAGAGGCCTTGTTGACATTGGTCGGTTGTTGTAGGAAGCTTAACATGACTTGTGCAACACTACGTGTGCGTGCGCACACACACACACACACACACCACACACACACACACACACACACACACACACACACACACACACACACAACACACACACACACACACACACACACTCTCTCTCTCTCTCTCTCTCTCTCTCTCTCTCTCTCTCTCTCTCTCACCCCAACAAGTGCAAAGTCATGAAGATTTGAGAAGGGCAAAGACGACCGCAGACAGAGCACAGTCTAGGGGGCCAGAGACTACAAACCTCACTCAAGGAAAAGAATCTTCAGGTGGGTATTATACCGAGCACATCTGACGCGCACATCAACCAAATAACTGCTGCAGCATATGGGCGACTGACAAACCTCATTAAGGAATCGTTCAAGACTTTGTACACCGTGTATGTCAGGCCCATATTGGAGTATGCAGCACCAGTTTGGAACCCACACTTGTTCACGCACTTCAGGAAATTACAGAAAGTGCTAAGGGGCATATACTACGAGGAGAGGTTAAGGGAAATCGACCTGACATCACTGGAGGACAGGAGGGATAGGGGAGACATGATAATAACATAAAATACTGAGAGAAATTGACAAGATGGATAGGGACAGGATGTTCCAGAGATGGGACACAGCAACAAGGGGTTACAGTTGGAAGCTGAAGAATCAGATGAACCACAGGGATGTTAGGAAGTATTTCTTCAGTCACAGAGTTGTCAGGAAATGGAATAGTCTGGGAAGTGATGTAGTGGAGGCAGGATCCATACATAGCTTTAAGAAGAGGTATGATAAAGCTCATGTAGCAGAAAGAGTGGCCTAGTAGCGATCTGTGAAGAGGCGAGGCCAGGAGCTGTGAATCGACCCCTGCAACCACAATTGAGTACATACACACTGGTGTCCAGATTCAAGTGATGGTTCGTGTGTTTCACACTGGTGGTCACAAATGACTGTGTGACCTTGTGTGTGTGTGTGTGTGTGTGTGTGTGTGTGTGTGTGTGTGTGTGTGTGTGTGTGTGTGTGTGTGTGTGTGTGTGTGTGACCTTGTGTGTGTGTGTGACCTTGTGTGTGTGTGTGACCTTGTGTGTGTGTGTGACCTTGTGTGTGTGTGTGTGTGTGTGTGTGTGTGTGTGTGTGTGTGTGTGTATGTGTGTGTGTGTGTGTGTGTGTGTGTGTGTGACCTTGTGTGTGTGACCTTGTGTGTGTGTGTGTGTATGTGTGTGTGTGTGTGTGTGTGTGTGTGTGTGTGTGTGTGTGTGTGTGTGTGTGTGTGTGTGTGACCTTGTGTGTGTGACCTTGTGTGTGTGTATGTGTGTGTGTGTGTGTGTGTGTGTGTGTGTGTGTGTGTGTGTGTGTGTGTGTGTGTGTGTGTGTGTGTGGTAGCAGTGGTGACAGGCACTTCTACACTAGCAGCTGACAAGTTTAGTGATGACAGGTACCGTCTACACTAACAGGTGACAAGTTTAGTGATGACAGGTACCGTCTACACTAACAGGTGACAAGTGTAGTGATGACAGGTACCGTCTACACTAACAGGTGACAAGTGTAGTGATGACAGGTACCGTCTACACTAACAGGTGACAAGTGTAGTGATTACAGGTACCGTCTACACTAACAGGTGACAAGTGTAGTGATAGGTACCGTCTACACTAACAGGTGACAAGTGTAGTGATGACATGTACCGTCTACACTAACAGGTGACAAGTTTAGTGATGACAGGTACCGTCTACACTAACAGGTGACAAGTTTAGTGATGACAGGTACCGTCTACACTAACAGGTGACAAGTGTAGTGATGACAGGTACCGTCTACACTAACAGGTGACAAGTTTAGTGATGACAGGTACCGTCTACACTAACAGGTGACAAGTTTAGTGATGACAGGTCCCGTCTACACTAACAGGTGACAGGTTTAGTGATGACAGGTACCGTCTACACTAACAGGTGACAGGTTTAGTGATGACAGGTACCGTCTACACTAACAGGTGACAGGTTTAGTGATGACAGGTACCGTCTACACTAACAGGTGACAGGTTTAGTGATGACAGGTACCGTCTACACTAACAGGTGACAGGTTTAGTGATGACAGGTACCGTCTACACTAACAGGTGACAGGTTTAGTGATGACAGGTACCGTCTAAACTAACAGGTGACAAGTGTAGTCTACTAACTTTCGTTTAGTCACGTCAAGCTTTTGACTTACAAACTAAACTCGTTGAATATTTGTTATTATCACTCGTATTTTCTTTTCTCTACCCTCTATGTATCTTGTGTCTCGTCTACTCTCTAAATGTGTGTCGTCTTCCCTCTACTTGTGTGTCGTCTACCTCTACTTGTGTGTCGTCTACCCTCTACTTGTGTGTTGTCTACCCTCTACTTGTGTGTCGTCTACCCTCTACTTGTGTGTCGTATACCCTCTACTTGTGTGTCGTCTACCCTCTACTTGTGTGTTGTCTACCCTCTACTTGTGTGTCGTATACCCTCTACTTGTGTGTCGTATACTCTCTACTTGTGTGTTGTCTACCCTCTACTTGTGTGTCGTATACCCTCTACTTGTGTGTCGTATACCCTCTACTTGTGTGTCGTATACTCTCTACTTGTGTGTTGTCTACCCTCTACTTGTGTGTCGTATACCCTCTACTTGTGTGTCGTATACTCTCTACTTGTGTGTCGTCTACCCTCTACTTGTGTGTTGTCTACCCTCTACTTGTGTGTCGTATACCCTCTACTTGTGTGTCGTATACTCTCTACTTGTGTGTTGTCTACCCTCTACTTGTGTGTCGTCTACCCTCTACTTGTGTGTCGTCTTCCCTCTACTTGTGTGTCGTCTTCCCTCTACTTGTGTGTCGTATACCCTCTATTTGTGTGTCGTCTACCCTCTACTTGTGTGTCGTCTACCCTCTACTTGTGTGTCGTATACCCTCTATTTGTGTGTCGTCTACCCTCTACTTGTGTGTCGTCTTCCCTCTACTTGTATGTCGTATACCCTCTATTTGTGTGTCGTCTGCCCTCCACTTGTGTGTCGTCTACCCTCTACTTGTGTGTTGTCTACCCTCTACTTGTGTGTCGTCTACCCTCTACTTGTGTGTTGTCTACCCTCTACTTGTGTGTCGTCTTCCCTCTACTTGTGAGTTTTAACACACACACACACACACACACACACACACACACACACACACGCACACACACACACACACACACACACACACACACACACACACACACACACACACACATACACACACACACACACACACACACACACACACACACACACACGCACACACACACACACACACACACACACACACACACACACACACACACACACACACACACACACACACACGCACACACACACACACACACACACACACACACACACACACACACACGCACACACACACACACACACACACACACACACACACACACACACACACACATACACAAAGAAACATGTCAAGAAATTAGAGACAGTGCAAAGGTTTGCAACAAGACTAGTCCCGGAACTGAGGGGTTTGTCCTACGAAGAGAAGTTAAGGGAACTCAACCTGACAACACAGGAAGACAGAAGGAATAGGGAGGACATGATAACAACATATAAAATACTGAGAGGAATTGACAGGGTGGATGGGGACAGAATGTTTCAGAGATGCGACACAGCAACAAGGGGACACAACTGGAAGTTGAAAAGTCAGATGAGCTACAGGGATGTTGGGAAGTATGTCTTTAGCCATAAAGTTGTCAGGAAGTGGAACAATCTGGAGAGTGATGTAGTGGAGGCAGGATCCATACATAGCTTTAAGAAGAAGTATGATATAGTTCATGGAGCAGGGAGAGAGAGGACCTAGTGGCGACCAGTGAAGAGGCGGGACCAGGAGCTATGAATCGACCCTTGCAACCACAAATAAGTGAGTACGCACGCACGCCGTGTCTACCCCCTGCGTGGGAGTAAAAGTGGAGCGTGGGTGAAGTATCCTTTCCTTCCCTCAAGTCGCTGAGAATCACTCATCCATCAGTTTAGAACCACTCATCCATCAGTTTAGAACCGCTCATCCATCAGTTTAGAACCACTCATCCATCAGTTTAGAACCACTCATCCATCAGTTTAGAACCACTCATCCATCAGTTTAGAACCGCTCATCCATCAGTTTAGAACCACTCATCCATCAGTTTAGAACCGCTCATCCATCAGTTTAGAACCACTCATCCATCAGTTTAGAACCACTCATCCATCAGTTTAGAACCACTCATCCATCAGTTTAGAACCACTCATCCATGGGTTACTTTATCACAAGTAGTAGCAATATCTATTGTTATTGTAACAGTAGTTGGTAAAGATTTGTTTACCCATTATTATTTATTGGGCGCTATACTTTTCTGAAGACTTTTATATTAGTACAAGTGGTTATTAGTTACCTTGCCAATAATACAAATAATTGTTTTTACAGCTGTTGTGGAGAGCTGTCCACCGAGCATCTCTGAGGCAGTGTAACGCAACACGCTTGACGCTCTGGACCCGGAGGCGTCACAGAGGAAGGTGACGCAAGGGAAGACTAGGTGCTGCTGCTGCTGCTGCTAGGAAGGAGAGCCCAGGAGTGCCTGGGACTACATTTAAACAGTTTATATTAGCGGTGTTTGTGGCCTCGCGGCATACAACACCACCACCACCACCACCATCACCTCCCACATGGCGTTCGCCGGACTCAAGAAGCAGTTTAACAAAGCCAATCAGGTGAGTACTAGTGTTGAGTCAGTGACTGTATCAGGTGGTTCAGTTTAACAAAGTCAATCAGGTGAGTGCTGGTGTTTAGTCAGTGACTGTATCAGGTGGTTCAGTTTAACAAAGCCAATCAGGTGAGTACTAGTGTTGAGTCACTGACTGTATCAGGTGGTTCAGTTTAACAAAGTCAATCAGGTGAGTGCTGGTGTTTAGTCAGTGACTGTATCAGGTGGTTCAGTTTAACAAAGTCAATCAGGTGAGTACTAGTGTTGAGTCAGTGACTGTATCAGGTGGTTCAGTTTAACCAAGTCAATCAGGTGAGTACTAGTGTTGAGTCAGTGACTGTATCCTGTGAATGATTGCCTGCTTCATTATGTCTTATAAACACTTGTGAAATCATTTAAAAAACGTGTGTAAGTGAGCAGGGTGTGAGTGAGTGAGCGAGCAGGGTGTGTGTAAGTGAGCAGGGTGTGAGTGAGTGAGTGAGCAGGGTGTGTGTAAGTGAGCAGGGTGTGAGTGAATGATCAAGATGTGAGTGTGTGAGTGAACAGGGTGTGCGTGTGTCTTCCTTGAGTGACTTCATTAATTGTCAGACTTCAGTAGTATGGAGGCAGCATAAGTGATCACAGTGAGGCAGCATAAGTGATCACAGTGAGGCAGCATAAGTGATCACAGTGAGGCAGCATAAGTGATCACAGTGAGGCAGCATAAGTGATCACAGTGAGGCAGCATAAGTGATCACAGTGAGGCAGCATAAGTGATCACAGTGAGGCAGCATAAGTGATCACAGTGAGGCAGCATAAGTGATCACAGTGAGGCAGCATAAGTGATCACAGTGAGGCAGCATAAGTGATCACAGTGAGGCAGCATAAGTGATCACAGTGAGGCAGCATAAGTGATCACAGTGAGGCAGCATAAGTGATCACAGTGAGGCAGCATAAGTGATCACAGTGAGGCAGCATAAGTGATCACAGTGAGGCAGCATAAGTGATCACAGTGAGGCAGCATAAGTGATCACAGTGAGGCAGCATAAGTGATCACAGTGAGGCAGCATAAGTGATCACAGTGAGGCAGCATAAGTGATCACAGTGAGGCAGCATAAGTGATCACAGTGAGGCAGCATAAGTGATCACAGTGAGGCAGCAGCCGCCTGGAATTAAGTGAACTCGCTCACATATTTTTGCCTCTTAAATAAGGGCACTTTAATGTGTGTGGTTAAGGAGGCTGGAGGAAAGGAGAGGAGGTGAGAGGCACGAGGAGTGGAAGGAAAGAAGGAGAAGAATAATGACATGAAGATTGAATAAGAGAAAGGAGATGAAGGAGGGGTGAGAGGCAGGAAAGGGAAGGTTTTACCTCCCTCTGCTTTATTTGCCACTGATTTCAAGGGTTCTTCTACCTTGGCAGCCTGGTCTCAGACCAGGCTGCCCAGCTCACCACCTGGTCAACCAGGCTGTTAATGCTAGCGGCCCGCAGGCCTACATAGCCAATACAACTTGCTAATCCGGAACATACAGTGCAAGTATATTATAACTTGGGTATATTACTAGTGTTATATTGGGTATATTAATAGTACAATTGTTTTCACACATTGTAGATGAGTAAGGAACACTGAGACAAGGTCATTATTCAACTCGGATATTGACCAGAGACTCCTCTCTGCCTGCTACAAAAATCCTGAGTAACAACTAGGATAGTCTTGGCCTCATTAACACTCTAACTTACTCACCATACCTCAGATACACTCACTCTGCCTCAAACATTCTATAGTATACTTCCCTCACACACACACACACACACACACACACACACACACACACACACACACACACACACACACACACTCACACACTCACACACACACTTACACTCACACTCTACAGGAGACGTCTAATAATTAGCAGGTAGAGTAGGGACCATAAGAGGGAGGTAGACAAGAGATAAACATTATATCCCTTTTATGTGATGATCAAATACGCTGGTGTGACCACTGGTCGCAACAGTAACAACACTACACTTGTACCACTAGTAACAACACTACACTTGTATAACTAGTAACAACACTACACTTGTACCACTAGTAACAACACTACACTTGTACCACTAGTAACAACACTACACTTGTACCACTAGTAACAACACTACACTTGTACCACTAGTAACAAACACTAACACAGTACCACTAGTACAACACTCATTTGACCACTAGTAACAACACTACACTTGTACCACTAGTAACAACACTACACTTGTACACTAGTAACAACATAGCAATTGTACCACTGAGTAATAACAACACTTGACCAAGTAACACACTACAGTTGTACACTAGAACAACACTCACTCTGTACCACTAGTAACACAGGACAGCTTGTACCCAGTAACAACCACTACACTTGTACACTGTAACCACACTCAACATGTACCACTAGTAACACACTACACTTGTACACACTAGTAACAGCACTACACTTGTAGCACTAAACACAACAACATACACTTGTACCATATAACAACACTACACTTTAACCACTAGTAACAACATATACTTGGTACACTAGTAACAACAACTAAACACCCTAATATGTACTCACCTAGTAACAACACTACACTGTACCACTACTACCACAACACTACACTGAACCACTAGTAAACAAACACTACACTTGATAACCACTATAAAACACTACACTTGTGCCACTAGTAACAACACACACTTAGTACCACTAGTAACAACACTACACTGTACCACTAGTAACAACACTACACTTGTACCACTAGTAACAACACTACACTTGTACCACTAGTAACAACACTACACTTGTACCACTAGTAACAACACTACACTTGTACCACTAGTAACAACACTACACTTGTACCACTAGTAACAACACTACACTTGTACCACTAGTAACAACACTACACTTGTACCACTAGTAACAACACTACACTTGTACCACTAGTAACAACACTACACTTGTACCACTAGTAACAACACTACACTTGTATCCACTAGTAACAACACTACACTTGTACCACTATAACAACACTACAACTTGTAACCACTAGTAACAACACTACACTTGTACCACTAGTAACAACACTACACTTGTACCACTAGTAACACTACACTTGTACCACTAGTAACAACACTACACTTGTACCACTAGTAACAACACTACACTTGTACCACTAGTAACAACACTACACTTGTTCCACTAGTACAACACTACACTTGTACCACTAGTACCAACACTACACTTGTACCACTAGTAACACACACACTTGTACCACTAGTAACACACTACACTTGTACCACTATAACAACACTACACTGTACCACTAGTAACAACACTACACTTGTACCACTAGTAACAACACTACACTTGTACCACTAGTAACAACACTACACTTGTACCACTAGTAACACTACACTTGTACCACTAGTAACAACACTACACTTGTACCACTAGTAACAACACTACACTTGTACCACTAGTAACAACACTACACTTGTACCACTAGTAACAACACTACACTTGTACCACTAGTAACAACACTACACTTGTACCACTAGTAACAACACTACACTTGTATAACTAGTAACAACACTACACTTGTACCACTAGTAACAACACTACACTTGTACCACTAGTAACAACACTACACTTGTACCACTAGTAACAACACTACACTTGTTCCACTAGTAACAACACTACACTTGTACCACTAGTAACAACACTACACTTGTACCACTAGTAACAACACTACACTTGTACCACTAGTAACAATACACTTGTACCACTAGTAACAACACTACACTTGTACCACTAGTAACAACACTACACTTGTACCACTAGTAACAACACTACACTTGTACCACTAGTAACAACACTACACTTGTACCACTAGTAACAACACTACACTTGTACCACTAGTAACAACACTAGACTTGTACCACTAGTAACAACACTACACTTGTACCACTAGTACAACACTACACTTGTACCACTAGTAACAACACTACACTTGTACCACTAGTAACACTACACTTGTACCACTAGTAACACTACACTTGTACCACTAGTAACAACACTACACTTGTACCACTAGTAACAATACACTTGTACCACTAGTAACAACACTACACTTGTACCACTAGTAACAACACTACACTTGTACCACTAGTAACAGCACTACACTTGTACCACTAGTAACAACACTACACTTGTACCACTAGTAACAATACACTTGTACCACTAGTAACAACACTACACTTGTACCACTAGTAACAACACTACACTTGTACCACTAGTAACAACACTACACTTGTACCACTAGTAACAACACTACACTTGTATAACTAACAACACTACACTTGTACCACTAGTAACAACACTACACTTGTACCACTAGTAACACATACACTTGTAACCACTAGTAACAACACTACACTTGTACCACTAGTAACAACACTACACTTGTACCACTAGTAACAACACTACACTTGTACACTAGTAACAACACACATTGTACCACTAGTAACAACACTACACTTGTATCACTAGTAACAACACTACACTTGTACCACTAGTAACAACACTACACTTGTACCACTAGTAACAAACACTACACTTGTACCACTAGTAACAACACTACACTTTACCACTAGTAACAACACTACACTTGTACCACTAGTAACAACACTAACATTGTACCACTAGTAACAACACTCCTTGTACCACTAGTAACAACACTACACTTGTACCACTAGTAACAACACTACACTTGTACCACTAGTAACAACACTACACTTGTAACCACTAGTAACAACACTACACTTGTACCACTAGTAACAAACACTACCTTGTACCACTAGTAACACATACACTTGTACCACTAGTAACAACACTACACTTGTACCACTAGTAACAACACTACACTGTACCAACTAGTACAGCACATACACTTGTACCACTAGTAACAACACTACACTTGTACCACTAGTAACAATA